TGCCAAGCTCTGTTTCAGCAGGCAAGTAAAGATTCAACCATAGGCAATTGGGAAAGCTCCCTAACAGTCTATGTGAAGCAACTGTTTCTGTGTCTGGCACTGGAATGTGAAAAGACAGAGCTGAAAGGAAGGAAAGATGAATATGAGGTGGGGGAAGTAAGGACAAACTAGAACTTGAGAGGTTCAGCTGGACAACTCATTATGATAAAATAGCTCCTGTCATCCTCTCATCTCTAAACCCCAACTTTGAGGCAAGACTGCCCTGCATTGGGGGCTGCTACCCTTTGTCACCAGTTTAGATCTAAAATGTCCCCCCAAAGTTTCATATATTTGGAAGGTGACTGGATCATGGGGGGCTAAACTCATCAATGGACTTATCCTTTGATGAGTTCAGTAGCTAAAATGCTGTTAGGTCAGGCCTGGTTGGAGGTGGATCATTTCAGGCATGACCTGGTAGGGTGTACTTTTTTTTTGGTACCGGGGATCAAACTCAGGACCTTGCAAGGCAGGCAGTAGCACCTCTGAGCTAAATCCCTGGCCCTTGGCAGGGTGTACTTTTGTCCCAGGCTCTTCTTGCTTCCTGGCTGCCATGTATTGAGCAGCTTTCCTCTGCTGTCCCCTTTCACCATGGCTTTTCTTTCTTTTTTTTTTTTTTTCTGTTACCGGGGTTCCAACTCAGGACCTCGGACTTTGGAGGCAGGCGCAGTGCCACTGAGCTAAATCCCCAGCCCTCACCATGGTGTTTCTAACTGGAAGTCGGCCATCCATGGACTGAATCCACTGGAAACTGTGAACCAAATAAGTCTCTCCTCTTTTATATTGTGGGTCTTGCACATTTTGTCCTAGCAATGGGAAAGTAGCTAATATCCCCTTTATCACGGAGTGAAACAAAAATCAGGCCCAGAATCTGGAGCAGCAATAGGCATATCAGATAGGTGATAAGTGACCTTCCCAAAGGTGGCTGCTGCTCCACTTACACTTTCTAAATCATACACAAAACAACTTGTGTAACTTTGCTAACCTGGAACTAGACAGCAAAGTCATTGCGGGAGCCAGAGCTCTGGCTCAGGTAACACAAATCCACACCATTGGTCAAAGGAGGAATCCCACTGAAATAAAGTACTTTGAACTTAATAATAATGAAAATACAGAGGGCCAGGGATTTAGCTCAGTGGTTCCACCCCGGTACCAAAAACAACAACAACAAACAATGTATCAGAATTTGTAGACTCTAGTTACAGCAGTCCTTACAAGGAACTTTGTGGCTTTAAGAGCTTATAAAGGAAAAAATTAAATCAACAGTCTGAGCAATGAAACTGAAGAGAAGCAGTAAGAGGAAAATCAATCGAGCCCAAAGTTGATTAGACCATTTGTGTTGATATAGCAAACTACCTGAAAACTGGATAAAGTATAAACAACAGACTTCTCACACTTCTAGAAGTGAGGGCCTGATCTCTGTTTCCAAGATGGTGTCTTGAATGCTTTATCCTCTGGTAGGAATGAATGCTGTGTCCTCACATGGTAGATGGGAAGGAAAAGGGTGGAGAGCAGCTGTCTGAAGTCTTCTATAATGGCATTAATCTCACCTTTAGGCGGTAACCTAAATTACCTCCCAAAGTCTTTATATCATCAAATTGGTGATTAAGTTTCTAATATGAATTTGGGAGGCGCGGTACCATAGCAGTTCATTCTTTTAAAGGATCAATAAAATTGATATTCTCTCAGAATGATCAAGAAAAAGAGAAAACAGCTAAGAGTGGTCATGCACGACTGTGAGCCCAGCACTAGGGAGGTAGAGGCAGGAAGATCGAGTTCAAAGCTAGCCTGGGCCACAAAGCGAGACCCTCTCTTTCTCTCAAAAAAGAAAAACAAGAAAGAAAAAATGCAAATCACATCAATATAAGTCATTAAAAAGGAAATACCACTATGGATACTATAGGCATTAAAATGCTAATGGATGAATGGGGAATGTTCAAATTACTTTATGGCATCATATTTTACAGTTTAAATGAACACATTTGTTGAAAAAGTATTCAAACTAATAAAGAGGAAATAAAAATATGAAAAGTCCGATCTATTAAACATTAAATTCATTATCAAAAACCTTCTCAAGGAGAAAATTCCAGGCTTGCACTGAGGTAAGCAACAACTTCTTAGGTGTGACATAAAATGCAGTAATTATGCAAGACAAAAGTTGATAACTTGATCTTAATCAAAATTAAACATTTTCCTGTATATCACTAACAAAATGAAAATGCAAGCCAAATTGGAGTAAATATGTTATCTGATGAAAAATTTCTCAATTTATAAAGAATTCTTATAATGTAATGATGCAAAGAAAAGCCATCCTCTAACCCCAATACTAGGGATTGAACCCAGGGCCTTCATGCCTGCTATATCCATCTCTCAACCTTTTTATTTTTTGCAACAGGGTCTAACTCACTAAATTGTCTAGCCTGGGATTGAATTTCCAGTCCTCCTGCCTCAACCTCCCAGAAGGCAGAGAAAACATTTTTTTTTAAAAACATTTTTTTAAAAAAATGGCCCAAAAACTTGAACAGATACTTCACAGAAAGGTATAAAAAGTAAAAACAAAAATAAAAAAAACCAAAAAACCATGAGAAGAGGTGCTTAACATATTCAAAGGAAAATGCAAATTAAGAACACTACTTTACATCCAATTAAAAAGACTGAAAAATAAGACTGACAAACTGTTGGAGAGGATATAGAAAAATGGAATTGTCACTACTTGTGGTGGAAATGTAAAATGGCACAGTCACTTGGGAAAAGTTTAAATTTCTTGTAAAATTAAACATCCATCTACCCTATAACTCCACAATTCTAATATGTATTTACCAAAGAGAAATGAAAACAAATCCACAAGACTTGACACAAATATTTGTAGCAGATTTATTTATAATAACCCATACTGGAAATAACCCAAATAACCATCAACCAATGGATTAACAAATAGCAGTACACTTCAATGGCATACTATCCAGTAATAAAAAGGGATAGACTACAGGTTTATGCAACAGCATTAATCTCAAAAGGTGTTAAGCTAAGGGCCTGGAATTTAGCTCAGTGGTGCTGCCTGCCTCACATGTGCAAAGGTCCTGAGTTTGATCCCTGGTACCCCTCCCCCCCCGAAATGTGTTAAGCTAAAGAAACACAAGGGTACATACTGTCTGATTCAATTTAAATGAAATTCTAAAACAGGCAAAATTAACCTCCAGTAAATCAAAAATACACCAGTGGTTACCCAGGGCTGGGGAGAGATGAACTGCAGAGGGAGATGAAACTTTTTCTGGTAAAAAAAAAAAATCTTCTAAATCTTGGGAGATGATATTGGTGTATACATTTTCCAAGGCTGATTAAACTGTACTATTAAAATGGGTACATTTTATGTAAATTATATCTCCACTAAGCTAACCAAAACAAAAATCAAAAAATGGACAGAAATCACCAGTATAGTTACTGTCTTAATAGCTGAATGTGCACTAAGTTTTTAGGTTTCTATTTCTTTGTTTCGTAGAACATGTCAGAGGTCCAGTTTACATTTAAATAAATGGTTTAGCTAAGTTATAATCATAAAATAGAGGAAGATACAGTAATGATGCAGTGAATAAAAGCCTATAATATGGATGCTTTTAAGTCAAGTGACTAGCTTTTGATGCCAATATGCTATTTTGTGATTAAATATGTTTGAGCATCAAAAGCTGTCAAGGTATGCAGAAAAATCTATGAAGTACACAGTCTGCCTCTTAGGGGATTTAATCAATACATTCAACCTTTTTTCAAATGTTTAGGAAATCATGATTAATAAAGTATATAAATGGTGTGAAATGCTTAGAATTTGATGAATATTTATGTATTATTAATCAAAGAAATGAGAATTTTTACAAATTTTACTGTACTTATTTAGTAATATGATCTTCAAGTTGACCATACAGATTTAAGGGTACACACACACACACACTTGCAGTGCTAGGGATCAAACCTAGGATGCATTTCCAGTCCCAGAAAAACTATATTTACTGAAAGAAGTATTTTTTCTTTGCATATGAAAAACCTGACAGTAAAGCTGACACATGGTTCACACTTCCTTCTTGCCATATGGAAATCTCTTCTTCAGGGAAGCTGTTTATTCTCTTTTGTCATCAAATTTTGTAGGGTAGCATTATGGTTTATAGTAATGTTTTTAAAATGAAATTATATAGCAACAATCCAGTTTATCCTTTATAAAGACAATTTACAGTAAATACTGTATCATTTTAAATTTTACTTCATGATTTCCTCTGCAGGCCCCACCTCCAGTTCCCTTCAATGTCTTTTATCTTCCAGTTTTAAGGCTTAAGTACCCAGGCATTTCCCCTTTCCCCCTGCAACTTCTACTGAGATCCTATCCAAGTCATGATGATAAATCATTGAGCCTATAAAAGAAAAGCATGAAGTACAATTTACACAAATACCTGGACATTTGAGTGTTTCTAACTTGAACATTAATAGTGGTTTTGTCCATTTACAGATAAACTAAGGCCATGTAATCTATGAGTGGCAGAAATAGCACTCACACTTGTCCATTTGTGTCCAAAGCTCTCTGCAACTGAGTGGTCTGCTTTTTCTTGGTATAATCAACCCTTTTCTTTGAGGATCTGTTCATTCACAGAGCACAGTGTTAAGAGCTAGATAGACAGATTCATAATTCCCTAATCAGCACTCCATTACCAATTTGGACATCGTCAGAATCAGGGCTACTGATAGGTTTTGTTTGTTTCCAGGCTGATTTTGAGTGAGGGAAAAAAATGTCTTCGGGGAGGGACAATCTTTGACTCCTCTTTGCTTCTCCTTTTGATTCCCTCAAAAGTACTCGTCAGGTAATTAAAACAATTTGGTGAGTTAAAAGACAGCATCAGAATGGATTAAACGTATCTACTGCAGTGCTTGGTACCTATTTGGAATTCATTAAACATGAACTGAAGAGAATGACATTTTCACCATTTCATTTAATACATTCAGGAAAGTATTTATTGAGCCTCAATTATGTCTCAGGCATTTTGTAAAAATGCATGGATTAATGCAATGACGATTCAGACAAGATTTCTACTTTCAAGGTCTACAACAAATACAATGTACATAACAATAAAATGTTATCAAAAGTAGGAACTGCTGAAATAATACTGTCAGTCAAGTATTTTTAGTATTAAATTACAAAGACAAGGAAAGAAAGTTCTTTCCCCTTAAGTCATTTCTTGCTGCCTTCCACTGGGTCACTTACAAATAGGAATTTACTGCCCACAGTTCTAGAGGCTAGTAAATCCAAGATTAAGGTGCCAGAGGGTTTGTTGTCTGGCAGACTCAATCTCTTTCCATAATGGTGCCTTGGTGCTGCGTCCTCTGGAAGGAACAAATGCTGGGTCCTCACACGATGGAAAGAGTTAAAACAAGGGATAGAGCTCCCTTATACCTTTAATCCCATTTGTGAGGGCATGGGTTGATCACTCCTAATGGTCCTACCTCTAACACTATCATATTTGGTTTTAATATATGGATTTCAAGGCTCCATTCAGACCACAGCACCCAAGTTGTTTAGTTTCTTTGGCTAACTTTATTTCTGCTCTGCATTTCAAATGAATGATTTTTTTTTTTTACCTAAATTAATCCCAAATCTCTGCTGAGTTATCTCCCAGACATCATTCCTCTATAAAATAACTGCCTTTACTTTAAACAGCACATATTAAAAATTGAACCCATAATTCTCCCACAAATCTGTCCCTGGCTTCTAGAAGACAGGAGGAAAAAGAAACATGGGGAAGAACAGATTCATAGCATTCAGTATTAGAGACAGGGAGGAAGATGAAGACACAGTAAACGTCTGTAGGTTTTTGAAATGTGCTCTCAATCATCTCCATCTACCTCCCAATTTGTGCCAGAAAAGTACAAAATGTAACTTTAATTTTCCCCTTCAGTTCTGTAACTATAAAAGGTTTCAAAGCCAAGGGGGGAACTTTTTCAATTGCTATTCTTACATGAGGGAATTTAGGTCCTCACTTCTCGAATATTCTCTGAATTCCTCTAATAGAGAATAGAATATAATGAAGCATTAAAATATAAACTTACAATTATGCAACACAATTCAGCTTGAAAAGACCAGAACTTAACAAGGGTGAAAAGGCAGATTAATTCGACAATTCTTAACACTTTTTAGAAATTTTCTTTCTCCTCACAAATTATGTGCTTTCCTCTGTATTAGGCAGGAATAAAACCTAGATATAATTTTCACAATGATACTGGAGTTATGGAATTAAAGATACTAAGACAACTAGTGCAGGGAAAATTTGAAATACTTTTGAGCTTAATTATCATTCTGACATCTTTATTTCCTCCATTCCCATCATGGAGAGGGTAATAAACCACATGGATGTGGTAAAGTTTGCTATCTATTCAAGAAACTGGCTTCTCCTTCATCCCAGCATATAGCCAGACACAGCTAGGAATGACTCTTTTCCAGTCTAGTGTGCTGTGATTGAGTTTTGTCCAACAAAAGTAAACAAAAGACATATACACCACTTCTAGGCCTGGCTCAGAGAAACTCTTCATGCACAGATGTCTCCTTCTTTCCCCATATGCCCTTTCAACAAAGTGGATTCTGGGCTAATATAAAGGGAGAGCTTCAAGATGGAGCTTGGGTGGCAGAATAACCATGTGGAAAGCTGTGCACTGACCAGAAACAGCTGCATGAGTTTCTGTGAGAAATAAACCCTGCAATAGCTACTTAACTTCTTTGAATCTTAATTTCTTCATATCAAAGAGTCATAGCAATGCCTGGTGAAGAAGGACAGCTCAATACATATTAGATGTCACTATTATTAAGACACAAATTTACTTCCCTTTAATTTCCTTCTTTTTATTGGGCAAAGTGGAGCACTGGGCTGTGTGGGACTAGAGAAAAGTACTCAGCTTCACTTACCTTTTAAAAAAACTAACTGGAACACTGAACTCAACATTTTAACAATTAAAAAACATTTTCTCCTAGATCCCAGGTATTACATTTTATGAATAGTCTCCTACTAAAATACAGTGGTACCTTGGTTCACAAACTTAATTCTCTCCACAATTCTGGTTACAAACCAAACTAGATGAGAACCAGATCAAATTTCCCCATAAGGTCAATGTGGAACCTAACCATAAATGTGATAAAGATGTGAGACATAAAAAGAATGTAACAATCACCTCCTTTCTTCCTCTGCTTGACGGTGAGCATCTGAGAAGGTTCTAAAGCAGTTTTAACAATCCATATCATTCTGGTTTCAGATTTACATCAATTTGTACAAAGAATATTTTGTACTATTATAATATTTAACTGATACAGTTTAAAACAGTATGACATTTTACTGATTTTACATAAATAGCAATAGTGTATCTTTAAAATTATGTTTTCCCAATACATTTATGTTACAACACACATTTTTTTATGAAAGTGTTTGTCAAATCTTTTTGAAGAGGTGGTATGGGAAAGTTATGAGAAATAGGAGAATGAGACTTGTACACAAATCTTCAGATAGACTTAAATATTTGGCAATTATTTCCTTTTTAAATTTTTTTTAATTTTTTGGTACCAGGAATCAAACTCAGCCTTGTGCTTGCCAGGCAGGTGCAGTGCCACTGAGCTACATTCCCAGCCTGAATTATTTCCTTTTATGACAGGTCTGTAACTTTGAAAAATATCAAAAGTGCAGTGCATCTATTAAAAAATCAGCAGTGCCAAATATATTGAGCATCAAATTTCCCTAACATACTATTTCCTAACTTTTATGCTTATTGAATAATGGTTTTAAATGGTAACCATAAATATCTTCAGTTAAATAATCTCATATCTGAATTAAATCATGGAAGAACTGTTATATTTTAAAATTCCAATTTACTTATCAGTAAAATGGATGGTTTGACGATATCCCCAGAAAATGGGGCTTTTATATATAGGAAAATGATAATCCTCTACCTGCTATTGTCATTGGTATAAACACTAATGTAACAGATTTTTTTCCACACTGATATTTCTACTTGAGCAAAATCCTAGAAGTAGTCATTATCATACCAATACTGAAGAATTAACCATTCCTCAAACATAGAACCAACTTTAGTATTTCTTGGTTATGGTACTTAGTCTTGGTATTACTGAATGCAATGAATTTTTCTTACTGAACATGGGTGGATTAAGGCAAAAGGATATATAGCCAGGTCCCTTCAGTAGTTCATTCTTTCTTATTTAAAACTGTTGCTGAGGCTATAAAAACTATAGATCTGCTGGTTGGAAAGATACAAATTGTCCTTGGACCAACCAACACTCAATATTTGAAACATGGTATTAGAATCTTGGTGTTCATAGCATCTTCCTTTGATCTACCATAATGGCTGTTGCTTAGCAGTGTGCACAATGCTTATTTTCAAATGATACCATTTATTGCCATGTATCTTCACTGGGTATCAATTATTTCTTCTTATTAAAAATAGTTAAGATTTGGGCAATAATCTACTCTATCTTTGTAAGCTCTCCATTGCCTAATTTTTCTTTTTTATAACCGTTTTCTGAAGGGCTACTGCACTTCTGTTCTGTCATATTTTTCACATAACTATGTGGTCCCTTCCCCTCAAAGGAGGAAGGATTTTTGAATGAACCTCCAATTCTGTCCCACAATGTAAAGTACTGTCCATAGTTATAGTCAAAGAACAGGTGGTGGTCTGTATGATGAGCTGAGCCATTAATAAATGGCCTGAAGATCCGAGGGACACGAAAGTCACCATCATGAATGGAAATTGTCCAGACATTAACAAAAATATACAAACCTAAGTAAACTAACTTGTGTAATGGAAAAACAAAAGGGTATATATGGTAAGGTAGACTCTGAAGAAAGCCATCCAGAGGGTGAAAAGCATGACTTGCAAATGGAGTAGTAATCTTCCACATATGATGAGGTTTATGTATGCGCTAAAGAAGAAAGGGACATAATTAGCACCATGAGCTTTACCCAGTGCAACAGTAAACTTAACTTTGCATACTCACGTTATGAAGACGAACTAACTAAAAGATCCCTTTGAAACCAGCAAAATTGCTTTATAAAAGAGCCTCCTTCTTTAACCCACAAGTGAAATTTCATAACAGTCCCTCTATATCCATAAAGAAAAATATGAACAAAATGTACCTGGTACCTGCTATGACTCTGGCTACTTAAACATTTACTAAAGGAAATTCTTGGGAAAGAGAATAAAATTGAAAATCATACATTGCTGAAATGTGTAACATTTTTTCTATTTCCCCTACTAATGACTCTACCTTGTATACAAGTTTATGATGAAGGCCTCTGTGAATCCAATAGATCAGCATGTCGGTGAAAAAGAGGAAGGATATTATACTAACAATGAGTTGCAACCAGCCTAAAAGAGACAACAGGGAACAGGAGAATCAAGATTTGGCTCCTAGGACTACAGTTCACCTTTCACATGTCCATGTAAGTGCAAAACGGAATCCTAAGTTAAAACAATATCAACTGTTTTGGCTAACTCAATACATTATAAATTAATCTCCCCTCACTCCATGAAATTTGGTCATTTCTTTATTTTTCTTCTCATAAGAACTTGAAATGTCCAACATTTAATTGATTTCTTTTTTTACATTAGTTTATTTTTAACTGATACACAAAAGAAAAAATTTTACATATTGATGGGTAATTTATTAAATCATAAAGATACCTGAGACAGAAAAGGACATTCCTGAGACATCTTCAATATTATTTAAATCTCTGAGAATACTACCACTTGATCATTTTCCTTCATAGTAACCTTCCTAAATCATTATCTTAACAATAGGATCTTCTTGCTTAGGACCCTATTTTTTACTAAATGCTTCAAGCCTATCATTAATCCATAATCTGATCCTTTCTGACCTTTGCAACCTTATCATTCTCACACTTCTGCCCTAGCCAGGTGAGTTTACTCAGTGTCCTCCCGAAATCTTGCTACTTTTAACCTCTGTCCCTTTACTCAAGTGTCCCATAAATCTAGAATGCTCCTCCTCTTTCCTCTATTTTTAACTCATACGCCTAATCATTTTTCAAAGCCCAGGCAATTCTAGTGTATGATTTTGTGCCCTCTCTTAAGTAACTAACCTCTCATTTTGAGAGCATGGATTTAGTGCCAGCATGCCAAGGTTCAAGTCTTAGATCTACCACTCAATTGCTGAGTAATGTAAGCAAGTTCCTGAAATTCTCCATGTTCCTAATCTACTCACCTACAAAAGGAACACAGTAATAGTTGCCACCTCACAGAACTGTTGTAGGAAAAAATGTCTCGATACATGTGAAGAGCTTAGGACTGTCATTAACACATTTTAGTACTCAGTAAATGCTAACTGCTGTTCTTGTATTCTATATTCTAGATACTAGAAATATATCTGGATGAAATAGTTTCAGAATTTTACAAAAGCTTAATTATTGCAAGACTGTTTACAACAGAAACAAATATAAATATCTAAAGGTCTAGTGATTAGCAATCAATTAATTATAGACATATACACAATGAAATACTGTAACTAATGTACTATTTAATGTCAACATTTATTGATATGAAATTATGTCCATATTTATTAAGGTGGAAAAAGCTGGGAGCAAACAGTGCATTGTAAATAATGAAGGATACAGACACAGAAAAGTGGGAAGATATGTGACAAAAGACTTACAGTTTCCAGGTAGTAGGATAATGGATTCTTAAAAATTTGTATTTTCAGATTTTCAGCAACATTCATGTGCTACTTGAATCACTTTTTTAGAAGTTTGGATTCAAGAAAAATAACAGAAAACAAGCTCATCCTTCTTTATGGCAGAGAAGTACTCCATTATATAAAAAACAACCCATATCTTCTTTATCCATTCACCCGTTGATGGGCCTTTGGGCTGTTTCCAAGATACAGCTATTACAAATGATGAGTCTGAGACATTTACAGCTAAATGGATGGACCTTGAGACTATACTCTTAAGTGAGATAAATTGGACACACATGTTTAAATACCACATTGTTTCTCTGGTGTGAGAAACTGAAAGTGGAAATAAGGACTGAGATGTATAATGGATGTTGGGAAATGGGAAGAAAATGTTCAAATGGGAAAGGGAACAAGGAAAGGGGGAGGGAGAAAGGAAGGAAGGGACAAGAAAAAAAAAGTAAAAATAAAAGGAAAAAATGGAAAACAAAGCTTTTGCATATAAGGAGGGGAAGGGGTCTGGGAGGGGGAGAAGAGGCAGGATATATAATGTACAGGTGCAAATTCCCTATGATGACCGTTATCATTATGTATATCTAAAATGTACCATGTACCAATAAATGTTTTGCTTTAAAAAAAAAAAAAGGAAACAAATGCAAAGACCTATCTAATCACTTAATTTTCTCCGAGGGACAATTTCATCTATAATAGACTTTAAAGTTGATAGACAAAATGAAGGAAATACATGTATGTGACAAGATATGAATGCATGAAAGTTGAACATTAAAAGAAAACTAAACAATTTAAATGAAAAAGAGAGGGAGAACTGTTTCTGTAAAGAAATCAGACCAGTCTCCTGATCGCTGTCTTCTTTACTTACCATGAGGAAACTCTATTTCTTCATATAATTTGCTGTAACCTCTCACCTCTAGCAGGAATAATGCAACGGTGGGAATACTGATCCATGGCATTGACTGGATGGTGAATTTAATCTCTCGATAGACTTGATTCTGAAAATAAAATCTCCAGTATTTAAAAGTTACAAAATCTATGTTCAACAAAAAAGGCATAAAATTGTTTTGAATTGGATTTTTAAACTGTCTCTTACATACATTAAGGGACTTATCTTCATACTGTTTCTATAAAAATTTCAAAACATGGGAGGGAGCATGTAAGTAAAATACTTTCGTATTGAGCAAATAACTATCTTAAATACTAAAATCTTTTCTCCTCTCCACAAAAGTTTTAGAATCATTTCTTTCATAATTAACTTCCATCCCCACCCCTATTATTAAAGGGAATGAAGCTCCGTGCAGAACCTGCCTAACAAGTAGGAGGCCCTGAGTTCAATTCCTAGTACCAGAAAAGAAAAAAGAAAAAAGCTCCCCCCCACAAAAAAGCCCCTAAATTTTTTTTTTTTTGGTGCCAGGGATCAAACTCGGGTCCTTGTGCTTGCACAGCAGGTGGCGAAACCACTGAGCTAAATCCCCGGCCCCCTAAAATTGTTTTTTAGTCCTTGGAGTAACTGACAAATACAAATAACTGAATGACTAAAACAACTCTAATGCTGAGTTTGAATCCCCTGTCTGACTAAAGAAAAACATACATGTTTAAAACATATTTCAGTCTGTGAAAGTCAAACAACATAATTACATAAATGAGTAAATTTATTATTCATCAATACTGTTATTAGCAAAAATATTCTCATCCATGTATCTAGCAAGGTAAGATAGGCTTATAACAAAAAAAAATTACATTCATTCATATGTTTAAATCAAAGGATGAAGAGAGAAGATTATCACTCAGAAAAATATCTAACCCATTTTAGGGGCTGGCTTCAAAAACTTTAATGGTTACATATACCATTTAATCTAAAAATCTGGTAAAACATCACATATTTTTACTATATATCAGATTTTATTTTACTGTAACAGTAGTTAGAAAATAGCTAAGAAAATATCTTACCTCTAAAAATTGTGGATGTTTCATTAATGAATGGTCATAGATAAAATAATAGCTCAGTGTTGCACAGAAGAAATAAAGGACAAAAGCACCAAGGTTTGTCACAATCAGGAGACTAATAGTTTGTCGAAATATGTCATCCTCTGGCCATGTGGATGGATATACATATGGTGTAAAAAAATAATAATCTGAGCCACTGAGAACATAGTCCATCTTCACCTCTGAAAGACAACCATGTGTAACAATTACTTATCATGTCTATATTTTTCTAAGCAAAACTTTTTCAGAAAAACTGCATGCTTTCCAATTTAAGATTATATGTAGCACAAATCTCTTGTCAATAGATTCCTCTAAATGCCATCTTTAGCATCAGAAGAGATCTAAATACCATCTCCAGTCCAATCTCCTCATATTATACATGAAGTCACTAAAGCTCAGCTAGAGAAACTGAGGCCTAGAAAGCTTTTCTTCTAAGGCCATCAAGCTAATTAAGTGACAAACCCAGTTCTAATTACACATTAGGGCTCCTATGGTAACATGGCATGTCACAAAGATAGGAATGATCAAAACTAGGTACTCAATTGTTACAAGTTTCATCTCACCTATCCTTTAAAGGACCCATATTTCAGATTTCTATTTCAGTGCTGAGACCTAAGAAGAATTCCTCAAAAGGTTTTGATGCTGCCACCACAACCAGGAAGTCAGGGACCACCTGCTCTGTGAACTCCCAATGACAGAACAAGGGCAGAAATACTTTCCCAGTTAAGAACTAGAAGACATTTCTTTCTTTCCTTCTAATCAATATCCTAGTTTGAGGCTGGCAAACTGTGGCCTGGAGGTGAAACTCAGAAAGTTTCAAACACACATGTGTCCAAATGTTACGTATCACCTCTTGCTACTTTTCTAATACTACAAGGAGGGTTGACACATTGTAAGAAACAAAATCAAAGATATTTTACATTTTTTCATTAGTATATTTTGGCACATAATGAATGTTTTCATCATGGGATATAGGTATATAGATACATATTCCGTCTACCTCCTTTTTATTGCCTGTTCCCCTCGCCACCCTCCCATCTAACACTTTATGGGAAAAGTTTGCCAGCTCCTATTCCGCATGCTTAAACTTTAGAAAAACTTTACTCATTCAGCAAATACTTCAGTCTATTCTAGATTCACAGTCCTATTATAATGCAGTTCAGCATCATTATGGTCAGTTTTTGTGATCTGACCATTTATGATATACTTATTCCTTCTTCACCGCATTGTTTGCAGAGAAAAATACGTTCAACATTCTAAAATCTTTCACACGTTTTGAACAACAAAAAAAATCAGCCTGACAACTGATTAACCATATGAGATTTCAGGTGCTGAAATGGCCTTTATTTGCTACATATTGGGCCATGTTAATATGTACTGACTTATGAAATAGCCTATATAAAAGAAAAATTCTTAAAATATTTATGCCCTTACTTATTTGTAGCCCACACTCACCTATGTCCAGATGTCCCACAAAATTTCTCCACTGTATCCCTCAGGGATTTAGAGAGTCTCTTAAAAAAATAATAGATACCCAGCATTCAAAATGATAAACTGATATAAAAAAATTGATGATGAGAAATCTTCCTTCCATCCATGACTATGCACTACAATTGTCACCTCACTTCCAGCACTATGAATCCTTAGGTGTTTTTTAATGTGAGAGCAAACAATTACAAATTTTTTTCCCCTTCTTTCCTACAGAAAGTAGTATGTGAAATATACTGTGAAATTCTTTTATGTAATAAATATCTTGGAGATCTTCCCATCTCTATATAAATAGCACTCTCCCCTCTTTTTTTAATTTGTTTTTTAAACAGCTTTACTGAGATGAAATTTACATAAAATTCATTTTAAAGTGGATGATTCGTAGGCTTTTCAACATATCCTCAGAGCTGTGCCATCATTATCATTATCTAGTCTCAGGACATTTTCATCACAACAAAAATCTCCATTCTCTATACCATTAAGCTTTTTAGATATGTAGGTTAATGTTTCTCATCAAATCTGAGGAGTCTGGGATCACTATTTCTTAAACTCTACCGTTCTCTCTACTCTTTATGGAACTTCCATAATACTTATATGGTATGCTTGACAGGGTCCCCCAAGTCCCTGAAGTTCTGTCCCTTTTATTTTCTTTTCCTTGCAATACTGGTAATTGAACCCAGGGCCTCATGCATGCTAGGCAAGTGGTCTGCCACTGAGCTACATTCCCAGCCCTTTTTAAATTTTATTTTTGGGTCAGGGTCTTGCTAAGTTGCTCAGACTGGCCTCAAACTAGCAATCTTCCTACCCAAGCCTCCAGAGCAGTTAGAATTAAAGGTTGTGGACCATCATGTCTGGTCTCCATCCTTCTTTTTTCTTCCTGACCTTCAGACTAGATAATCTCAACTGAACTATCTTCAAGCCCACTGGTTTCTGTTTTGTCAGCTTAAATCTGCTGTTAAACTTGACAATTTTTGGTGGGAGGGGAAGGGGAAAGGGAAGAAGGGAAAGGAAAAATTAAGAGAAAGAAAAAAAGAAATGGAATCAAACTCTGTAAATAGGGAAGGGTGGAGGGGGTGAAGGGTGCATAGGTAATGGGAGAAAAAATAAGAACTAAGATACATCATGCTCTGGTACAAACACTCAATGATAAATGTAAATGTATTTTATACCTAAAATGTACCAATAAATATATATAAATAATAAAAAATAATAAAAGTAAAATAAACTTGACAATTTTTAATTTTAGTTATTGCATTTTTCAACTCTTGAATTTCTATTTGGTTCTTTTAAAGATAATCTCTATTACTTAACTGATACTTTCTACTTGGTAGGAAATTGTTTCATACTTCCTTTTAGTTAAACATATTGTCCTTTAGTTCTCTTAAAATATTTCTATTAGCTGATATACAGTCTTTCTTTGTTCAATAAGTCCAACATCTGGGCTCTTTCAGGGACAGTTTATAGTAACTGTCTTTTTTAGTGTGTATAGGTCCATATGTACTTTCCCATTTATTTGTATGTCTCATAATTTCTTTTTTGGAAAAGGAATATTTTAAATAATGTAACATGGCAACTCTGGAAATAAGATTATCTATATCCTTCCCTTCCCCATTCCCAGGGTTTCATGTTATATCATGTGATTTTCCAAAATTAATTGTATAATACCTGTATTCTTTGTTGGGCACAATTACTGAAGACTAGTGCTAACTGTATACAATTTCTTTAAAAGTCTCCCAGCCTCTGCTAAGGTGATGCATGTGTTGGGCCATGATTTCAGTGTTTCTGTGAATAGTTTACAACTCTGACTTGCCCTTTACTTCCACCTTGAATGGATCTTCAAGATCAAAGATGAGAGATCAGGATCTCTTTGTTTATTTTTTAGGTGCATGCACAGCCCTGTGTCTTTTCTCATGGACATCTCATTGTCCTGAGTGACCTTTTTTAATTTTTTGGTTAGACTCTTCTCAAGACCTACTGGTAACAGCATCTCTCCAGGCGTTCTGATGTTTACGAATAATTACTCTTGAAAAACATCTTGGTAAGGTCAGGATGTTTACAGTAAGCAAGTTCTAAGACAGGTCTAAAGAAGACAAGCCTTGAGAATGGAGTTTTTCAGGGGCTTCTAGGGGAGCTGCAAACTTGTTGTTTCCCCCAGTGGCTGCCATGCTACTGTTTTTCAGTTATGTTACAAGACTGTTAGTTTCAAAACTACCAGGGGCATGAAGAAAGGGCAAGTTAAAATACAGTAAAGCTCATTGTTCCTACTGGGCTTTAGCAATTTTCCTCAAATTAATGCTTCCTAGAATTACTGTAAACCTTTACTTTCTAGAGATCCAAAAATGCTGATTTTGAAAACTTCTGTCAGTGTTTTTTGTTTTGCCTTTACAGAGGAGTAGATTTTCAAAGTTTCCTACTGTACTATTCTGGAAGTCACTTCTTTTTACAGTACAGGTCTACCATTCTCACTTAAAACATCTGGCTGGACTCAGGTATATTTTGAAATTCAGAATTTCTAGACTTTGCAAAGATCACAAATATCACCCTGTCACATTAATATGTTTAGAAAATGTATAAATATTCACATTAAGTGTGATCAATACTATAAATAGTATTAGTTTATTTATATGATAATTTGTTATAATTATGTATATACTTACAAATATAGTAAGCTATATATACATATATATATACAACAGTCCAATAACTGATTATAGAATTTATAAAGATGATAAAAACTTTATTGCTTTTCTTTTTAAAACATTTGGTAAACTTTCAAATACATACAAAATCAAAGCTAGATACCTGTGGATAGATGTTCATGTGTACAAAAAAGACTCATTACATTTGGTCACTTGAAGATCTTAAAGACAAGGGTCTATTAGGTTGGAATTAAACACTGATGATGTGCCAGGATCAGGGTTCTCAGGTGATGACACGCTGCCACCCAAGATGGCCCTTTGAAAAGATTTCTACCAATGTCATGTCTTATGAACATAATGTTTGTCTATGCGATAACTATGTGCCACAGTGCTTTAGTGATTCTGCCTTGTGTTCACAATGTAGCCACCGTCATTGTTCATGTTATCTTTACTGTCCTCATGCTTACGTGTCTTTAAAAGCCTCCAAGTAATTTCTCCATCACACAACAAATGACTGACAGAAGCATCATGATCAATGCGTAGTATTTCAAGGGCAGCTTCTTCTGACTTATTAATGGTTTTGGCCATTAAATGTTATGGTGCAATTAATGAGATTAGGTATCATTACCTCACTAGTGATAGAAAATCCTTAAAAATATTTGTAGGCTCATTTTCAAATCCCACTATCAGCTAAAATACTACACATTTATTAATGTGGATTTACCAACATCATTTTGGGCATTAAATAACTATAAACAGACCTTTACGACTGAACTCTTAAGGAAGTTTTGATTCCTTGGCCTCCATTAGTTGTGTGGGCAATACAAATACTTTTCCAGGGCAAGACATTCCTTGGCAAGAAAGGTTGTATTCCAATTTTAGTTTAGTGCATGGTGAGAGCTACAGGTCTAGTTTTAATCTTTGGCAAGTTGTAACCCAATTTTTCCAGCACCATTTATTAAAGAGGCTATCTTTCCTCCAGTGAGGGTGTTTGGCTTTGTCGAAGGTGAGGTGGCTGAGTGTGTCTGGAGTTGTTTCTGCATCTTCTTCTTCTT